GGGGGGGGGGGTGGGGGGGGGGGGGGGGGGGGGGGGGGGGAGATATACGCGGTTCGCTCGTTGGAAAAGCTTGAATTCTCATGTAAAATGGAGTGGCTTATTTAATGCAGTGGATCAATTAAGCGGACCGGGGGAGCTTACAGTTCTCAGTGCTTGGGAGGTAATTGGCCGAAGGGGGAGGGGGGGGGGGCGGGGGGGGCGGAAGGAACGCTTCGATAATTCGTTGCTCAATCGGTTTAATGCTATAAATAACGAAGCTCGGCACTTTGTAATTTGATCGACGCGAAAGCTTAGGATCTCCCGGTGCCATTAATCCACGGCCTTATCGGGGCGCTCGGGCGCGCAGCTGGCGAACTCACCCGCGGCGAATGAAGTTGGAGAGGTAGTGGACGAGCAGCCGTGAGAGACTCTCGTCCTCGGCGCTGTAGTTGTCAGGGTTATCCTCGGCCCGGAGGAGGGGCGTGCCCATAAAGTAAGGGAGTTCGTCGCCTTTTTGGCTCGGTCGCTTGCCCGGCTGGAAGTGGAGAAAGTAGCCGCGGCCACCGCTCGCCGAGTGAAGGAGCGCGAGCCTCAGGAGGGGCGCCGCGACTTGGCCGTCCCCCAGAAGGGCCAGCAGACCCTCGCAGATGGCGAGAGGACTGGACTCGGCGCGCTCCCAATCCGTGTACTCGTTGCGCAATGTCGAGTAAATCTCGTGGAGGTGGTAGCGGTAAGTGTTGCGGACGTATGTACGTAGGATCCTGTCTCGCCGCGTCTCGTTCAGTCCATTCTGTAAAGACATTTACATTTCTTTCGCCCTGGCTTAATTCTTAATTGCTTACGCTCGCCCGAGCGGATAGTTCGCTTCATGAGCGCAACTCGAGTTTCATACATCAATATCCAAGAGTTCTGTTGCGCTTTGTAGGTAGAGTCTTCGTTCAAAATTATGAATAAATAAATGCATTATTGGCTTATTAATTAGGGACGTGATGATGCATTTGATCATTTTTTTGATAAATGAAGAGTTAATACAATTTTAGAGCAAATTCACATTTTAAATATCTCAATTACAATTTTGTCAATAATAAGATATTTCGTTAAAAACAAAAACAAAAAACAAACAAAAACAAAAAACAAAATACAAAAAAAAAACAAAAAAAAACAAAAAAAAAAAAACAAAAAAAAAAAGACAGACAAAACAGAGAAGACAGCAAATCAATTTTACTATCTATTTTAGGCATAATATGAATATTTCATCAGAATTATTAGTTTGTGCTGTAGCAAATGGTAAATTTCATTATATTGGATGATTGACAAATTATCGGAAAGATTAAATTTCCGTGCATAAAGTAGTGCATAAAGACTAACCAATGAATGAATTACAAAATATGCATATATTCATTATGCAAAGAAATCAAGACATTTATTTATGGAATTAATTACGATTATTAATTAAAAATCAGCCCTTTATATATGTATCATTGATTCTTATGTCACTTGGAATTTATTGATAGATGAAACTATTGAAATTTCGATTGATAATCGGCAATGATTTAAAGTAACCATTGCTTTTCATTAATTGTGAAATGCCATTATGATAATTAATATTTTTTTATATATTGTGCATCGTTTGATAAATTCATAAATTATTGTCTTTCATGATGATTTAACATATCTTATTGTAAAAGATAATAATGTATTATAAAAAATTAACAAATAATTATGAAAATTACTATTAAATTAATAATGCTCTATAAGTTATTTTAATTTTCTAATTTTGTAAAAATTCATACAAACGAAATATGAAAATATTCAAATATTCAAGGATTTTACACGACATGCCATTTGTAATTTTTGTTAAGTTAAAAATGTTCGTTTCCCATTTATTCGTATGTAGGATTACCTTTAAAATTCGTACTTTCAAAAATAAACATTTTAACACATTATAAATCATGGTAATTATTTTCTTTCTTATAATCATCACTAAATTCAATTATTATCAATAAATCGAAATTCAATGTAACGCGAAAAACATAATTATATCATGCATAATACAGTATGAAATTTTTTTAAAGTACTTATAGTCTTTTTTGTAATTTAATCAAGATTACGCACTAAGTTTACAATTTTCTTCCCAATACACTATTTTTCCATGAATAATTAATATATAAAAATTTCAATCACGTTTCCATACTAATTATTGTCGTTTAAAAAATGTTTATATTTACATTTTTACAAACTAACATTAAATTTTTGTAATGTACGGTAACGACAATACGATGCTATTTACTTCATAAAATTTCGTTATGCTACTACTTAAAGAGAGAGAGAGAGAGAGAGAGAGAGAGAGAGAGAGCGTTAATTCAAGAGAAAATGTTAATCCAAAATAATCACTCTGCAAATTAAATAAACATAATCAGTTTTCAATGCTTTGTATACCTTAATTAATTAATAATATATTTAACGAATTTCATGAAATTATTAGAAAATATACTAATAATCTTCTTAATCCTTTATAAATACATTTCCATGAAATCATACTTTATAATAAAATATTAATTAATATAAGTTTGTTAGTTTTAATATATCTTTGAGTTTTCAAAAACTTAAACTAATGAAACTGATTATTATTTAAGCAAATTAAATTAAAACTTGAATATCGTATACCATAGTATTATATTATTTAACTTAATACATAATTTATGAATCTGTTTAAATTAATATCATTAATACAATGTAAAAGTGCATTATTAGAAAGTTTAATAATATGTATATGTATATATGTATATGTATACATTTTAACTACAAATTTTGCAAATTGCAGCGTAACGTTTACCGTATGCGTTTTATGAAAATATTATCAGAGATATTTTTGATTAATATTTTTATTGAAAATATATTGTTAAATTATGGAATGTATTAAAATGTTTATTTGTAAAACTTTGCCATATAATTGTAAAAATTATGCTGAATTCTATTGCATAAATAAAATATAATAATAGAATAAATTTTAAATAAATTTTCAATACATTAATAAACATCGATATGTTGCAGTTGCGAATTTAAGCTTTTGAATAAAAATCTAAATATGATATATAATTAGACATTTTGCTTAATATTCCAGACTGTTTTACTAAAAAAATGTATTACTAGTTGTCTATTACATTGAATGTGCAGATAATTAAGAAAACTTAGTTAATTTTAAGAGTTGTAAAAGCATAATGTTTTTTTCTCAAAATATTGTAACGAGAGACTTTTAAAAAGAAAATTTTTTAAATTATTAAAATAATGCACTAGGGTATATAGGACTTTTAATCATAAGAATTTTCTAAGATATAACTTGTGACTCGACCGTTCCTTTATGGCTACTTTTTTTTTTTTTTTTTTTCTTACAATATTTATTATATTGCTGTAATTTTATTGTCTCTGACAATGAAGAAGCACAATAAAAATGAAGTTGTTCTGAAGATTTTATTATACATTGCATTATAATCTGCTTAATTGAGTTGGCGTGTAGTTTAAACTGGGGAGAGCTAAGTAACATTAAAATACAATAATATTATTAATGAAATTTACCTCGAGATCTTGCTCTGCTAACTCTAGCCAAGCTTCGTCGGACGTGAGACCCATAAGTACATCTCGATCGCCAAAATTAGCAAACTCTGATCCCGGTCCTGGCATCAGTGGCATTAGTCCCGAAGACGCAACCGTGGGTTGAAAGCTCTGGAAAGTATTAGAACTATTAGTTTATTAATTTTTATTGGTATTGAGTTTTCGCAGCGTCACATACATTGAATTTAAAAGCCGGATTAAAAGTTGTTCGCTGCAACAACAATATATTTACATTAGATTTCAGTAACTAATTAAATGAAATTCCGTGTCCAACATACGAAAGGAAATTCTGCTTGATTACTTTAAGGCATACGTAATGTAATTTAACAAATATTTCTCCCAGAAACAGAAAATATATTTTGTTAGATTTATGGAAAGTTGTTAGATTTCAAATTGAATTATGCTGAAGGTAATTAAAAATTGTATATTGTTTTTTTTTTTTTTTTTTTTTTTCGGCCTTGTAGAGGAATAAAATTGCAATTCGAGAAATATAAGTACAATCGAAAACTCTATTATCAATTTAATTAGCAAGTATAATTTCAGTTAAATTTTTACTTCCATAACAAGTTTGATTAATTGTTAATTAAACTATTTTACAATTGTGTAGAACATAGTTGATATTTGATAAAGTTTTCAAGTATAATTAACATTAAATGCGAACGTTAAATTAAGCTTAGATTCATGTATATTGCAAATGAGCTTATTTAATAAAGATTAATCTTTGCCCGGATATAACAAATTATAATTTTTGCCGAGAATCATAACTTTATCGAATTGAAATGATTAATAAATATCGTATATTATATAATAAATAAAAGACAGTGTTAAAAGTATCTCTAAATACTTATTGCTATTATAAATTTCTTATGATGTGGATTGAATCTATTATTAGTAGGCTTGAAAATAAAAGAAAAAGAATATAAAAGAATAATATTTCATATGAACTTTGTAGCTTATCGTAAACAAAAAACTTTACAAAACTACAATTTCACCATTTTATCTGGTATTATTTATATCGAGTAAGAGAAAGATAGCTTTAGCCGTTTGTCGTCCTCTTCTTTTAATAAAGGATTTACATTTTATTTCATGAAATATCTCGAGATTTTTAATGATCGGAGGGAGAAAAAAAACGATTTCAGTAATAAAATTCGGTAGTGAATGTGAAGTCATACACGCGCGCGCGCTCGCGTTCGAATATCTAAAGTGGTTGGCATTGAATAGAAACGAAACCTCTTCTACTTTCATGGCTAAGAATATAAGAGTTTGAATGCCCGCCATAAAAGGCAATAATTTTATAACGAATTTAGAATAACGAAAACTCGTGCCGAATCTATAAAGTACATCTTGGTGCGATGCCGTTTGGCTCGGAGATGAAAGGAGCCCGATGAATGAAACCCGTCGTATCGGAAAATTGTCAAGTCGGCAACGAACACTCGCTAGCGAAGAAATATCGATAATCTGCCTTACCTGACTATTAACTAGGCCCTCGGGCAAAATGGCGCCATCGACGAAGGGGGCAAAGCCGGAGGTGAATCTCGGCACGTCGAGTTTCACTTCGAGAAGGTCCTCGACGTTGTGCTGCCGTAAGCAGGGCGCGACATCCTCAACCTCGACGTCGCCCGGACATCCCAGGATCTCGGCCACGCGGCGCTTAACCGCCAGAGGCTCGCGCTGTATCGCCCAGGGCGAAAGGGACGAGCCGCCCAAGAGGACAACACGCTCAACAAGCTCTGAGAAAAAGGAAATTGACGCCTCCTCGTAGCCACGTAATAGAAAACAAAACTTTTCGCGGTCGCCGCGAGCTGCCAAGTCGAGCTTTAAGAAATTATTATGCGCCCTGTATTACATGTATATATATATATATATATATATATATATATATATATATATATATATATGCGTAATGTCTAATTGAAGAGAGTGAAAATATTTGTTGCTGAATACAAATGGGCGGCTATTGTCGCGATATCGTGGAATATAATGGAATAAAAATAAGCACCGAGTTTTTACTCGATCGTTTGTAAAGATCGCATTTTATTACTTGCTGCGTCCTTTTTCCACGCTCCATCTCCATTTATCACGCTCACCTTGATATCAAATGGCTGTCAGCGACGATTTCGCGAAGGAGGAGCTTTCTAAGCGCGCCAATAAGCGTGAAAAGTAACGAATTAAATAAGCAAAGAAAAATTACGGCGATAATGCGATCGAGTGGTATTAGCATTTTTCTAAGTAAGATATACGAAACGATTTCTACCCACTTTTCTCCCGCCAAACGAACGATTGTCTCGTAATTGTAGTTAGGAAGGGCTAAAGCAATTAATTTTAACAAGTTATCTTTACTACGCGAATACAATGTCTCAAATCAGCTTTCAAGTTCCACGGTTCTTTAATATTTAGCAGCGATTTTTGCGTTAATAATATAGCGAAGCATCGGAGTAGGTGTCGAGTTATTTCTTTTAATGTTCTATTGTTTATGTCTCAGGCATTCCGACGGCTTATATATAATAATGAGAGGTCGAGTAAACAGTCGAGTATGTAGAAAGCCTATGTGAAATTACTGATGGCTTCGTCACTTGGCATGCAACGACTCGTGATAATTATTTAAAAAATTTGAACAAACCGACCGGCATAATAATGATAAAAGCCAGTCGTAGGAATCGGCCGCCAAAGCACAATATTTATTTCCCCTATATTTCACCCTTTGTCCAAAGGGGTGATAAATTTTCATTTAATATTTGCAAATATTGCGATTACCTGCATACCGATTAATTAGACCCTTGAGCTTAATGAAATAATGGCATTTTGAACATTTCGCAAAAGCATTTGATAATAATGAATAGCCGTGATTATCAGCGAGACCAATAATAGTCGGATTAATGATAGGGATGGTTGCGGCGGTGAGGCGGTGGTGAGGCGGAGGTGAGGCGGTGGTGAGGCGGTGGTGAGGCGGCGGTGAGGCGGTGGTGAGGCGGCGGTGAGGCGGTGGTGAGGCGGTGGTGAGGCGGCGGTGAGGCGGTGGTGAGGCGGAGGTGAGGCGGAGGGGAGAGAAAAAAGCAACAAAAGTACACAAAAGAAAAAGCAGTGCCGGCACGTAGAATTAATTTAGAAAAGAAACGAAAAAGTGCCATCCCAGCGGGTCCGTGGGTACGTGCGGAGAGCGAAATTTATCATCGACTAGGAGTAAGAGTGGAGCCGGAGAAAAGAAATCATGTTAAAAACGCGGAGGAAGCGAGCTCGTTTCTTCGCTTGCGGTTCTTGGCTCCGCACGTAAGGAGCGCATTACAGGCCGCTTTTTTCGTTTCTCTTTCTCTCTTACCTCTCTCTCTCTCTCTCTATTTTTTTTTTTTTTTGGTGTTTTTTTTTTTTTTTTTTTTTGTTTTCGTTTTTTTTTTTTTTTTTATTTTATTTTTTTTTGTTGTCGTTTTTTGTTTTTTGTTTTCTGTTTTGTTTTGTATTGTATTGTATTGTTTTTTTGACCGCGCCAGACAAAAGTCTAAGCACTTCTCATGAACGCATGCGGGGGGATGGAAGGGGAGGGAAGCGCAGGAGCACCTCAGAAGGTTCGTTAGCGAAATGGCAGTGCAATCCAGGCCAGCGAGATTGTTAGTGGATGCACGTCAGGTCAGAGCTCGCATACTCCAGATAGCTTGTTAAGGAAGTAGTGCGCCGACTTACCCCCGTGCCCGCGACACTCTTCTACCGCCCCGCCCCCCTCCCACCCCCAGTTCACCCCACTATCATCAGCTCTTCTCACTCTCTCTCTCTCTCTCACTCTCTCTCTCTCTCACTCTCGCTGTCTCTCTCGCTGTCTCTCTCGCTGTCTCTAGCCCCGTCGTCCAGTAAGCCCACATTTTTCAATTCGTTATTTCATCGTAAGGACTTGTATTCTTATTATGAACAAGGTACGTCGCGCCTTCCCTGTGTCCCTTTTCATTTCTTCGATCATCTTTTAATTCGCAACTAATAAACGATCTTTACTAAGGCTTATGTTTGCATTGGTTTATGCTTCTGGAAATTGTGCCTCGCGCAACTCGCGACATGGAATTGCAAAAAATTTACATTGATTTCGGCCCGTCATTTTTATTTATCTATAATCTTAAATTTTTAACTCGTTGCCGCGATTGTTCCTTCGAAGCTCCTGAAGCTATTAAAAATAGTCTTACTAAACCGTTGAACCAAATAATCGAGTGATTAAAAGGAAAAGAAAAATATATTATTTTTCGTGAACCAAGCTCAGAGTTACTTTATCAATAAAATTAACAATTCCACCATCAAATACATGTATAATTATTATATATATTGAATTATACTTCTGTGCGGACAGTGAAAAATATTATAAACTTACGTGTCTGAGTAAAATATACGCAATACACGCGTATTACAATCAGCATATAAAAATAAAAATTAATTCTTTTATCTTTACGGCAAAAAATTTACAAGTTTTATTTACTTTACTTAATAAAGTAATATTGTGCGTACAGAATAACAAGGCATTTAATATATTTTCCACGTAATTCTACGTTTTTTTTTTTAATCGGAACATAACCGCGTGAAATTAAATCAATAATTAAACGTTAGCTTTCACGTAAATCCCTCGGTAATGGAAAATTTACGGCAATAATAAGGTGTTATTAAATTTGTGATGAGCTGCTCCTTTCGCAATTAGACTAAGCCATATGTGTATTAATTACAAAATAAAAGCAGCTCGCTAAACGAATGACAAAAGTTGAATATTAATCTACGTCATTGTGCACAGTGAATCGCACGGATAAAAAAGTAGTAACGAGTGAGTAACGAGTACCTTTGGCCATTGGCGAAACGGCAAGGAAGTTTGCAAGTGCAGCGCCAGTCCCGTGGCCCAGGAGGGTTAATCGATTGGAATCTCCACCAAATGCAGGCAAATTCTCTCGTAGCCAATGTACCCCAGCCACGAGGTCCATGAGTCCGTAATTGCCCTGCGCACTTCCTTTCGTACTTGTTTTCAAGAAACCTACGCTCAACAGGCAAAAAGCACATTTTCCGGTCGTTCTCCCTTTTTCTTTATGCGCCGATTGTTATATATATATATATATATATATGTGTGTGTGTGGGTGTGTGTGTGTGTGTGTGTATGTATTATTTTTTTTTTTTTAATAATTTATAATGATCATGGACTGCTCTTGATTCTTCAGAATCACGAATTTGATGAAGGAAGATGAGCCATAAGGATTTTATTGCTTTATGTATGCGGAGTAAATGAAATTGTGGAGAATGACGCGAGTAATGAAGCAATTTCAGCACTTGTTGAATATTACTATTAAATACCACTACTTTGTCAAATTAGCCTAATGTTGAATTTAAATATTATTATATTTCACCTCAGCTGAAAATTCATCAACTTTGTAACACATTCCCTTTATTGTGCATTATTTTTTTTTCTTTTCGTTATGTCAGATTCTTTATTTTATTTCATTAATTTTTTTATTTATTTATTTATCGTTGATCTTTACAGCCCATAGTGTTGGCAATTGATTTATACAAGGAAGTGATAAATAACAGCAAATAAAAGATAATATAAAAAACTGTTTATTCGATGAATTCAGAGAATAGCCTTTTACAAAAGCAACATTGCACCTGAGCCTGCGTATATTCACATTCAATACTAGGGTTGCAAATATATTTGTCAAAAAATTTAATGGATATCGCGCCGATGATTTGTTTTGCATTATGAATATCATTTGCGAGTAATGTCTACTTACTCTAAGCTGCTACGCATTGTTTATAAAAGTAATCACTGTGATAAATGATGCACTCCACATAGGCATACGAAGAATCGGGGCAATTGTAAAGCTGAAAAGTTTTTTCATTTTTTTTCTTTTGGCTGTTGTGATTTTTCTTTTCTTTTTGAGAGACGCTCGATTGAAAACATTTCAATGCTCTCGTGAAAAATTCAGCGGGAGAAGAGGGAAGGTTTTTGACATTCTCGTCACAGGGCTACTATGATATTTAAAGTGCTAAGATTACAGATCTCGGTCTTGGCCGGATAAGTGGTGAAAAATTACTAGCTATTGTGTTTTCCGTTAACTAAAGCTCCGTCATTTATAAACGGAAAGGGTTAAAGAACTCTTGTGTTATATGTGAATCTCAAAAAAAAGAAAAAAAAAAAAAGAAAAATTAAACAAAAGAAGAAAACGATGACCTCTCGGTAACGAGTAGATATTATACTGGGGGGGGGGGGAGGTGACAGTGAGATGGAGGGTCATGTAAATGAGAAGCGACTAATGTCCGATGTTTGTTAAGGTTTACATAAGGGAAAAGGGTCGAGAGGCCCACTGCGATCTTCGGCATTCAGTTTATTAATTAAACGATAAAATATTCAAGGAACGATTAGCCGGTGAATAAAAACCGTCGCCCCACCATCGAACGTCAAAGTGTAAAGACAAACGAGGAAGCCCACAAGTATACGCAAACTTTAGCATCGTTTTCTTTTTGCAATAGCTTCTTTTTATTTTATGCTTGTCGTCTCGTCCCCCATCCGCGGCCCCTCCCCCCGCATCTTTCGTCCCCTTTGATGAGCACACGCGAGGAGGAGCTTCTTTTTTTCTCGACCCGTTCCCCGTATGGTCGATGAAAGAGATGCTTGATAAGGTGTTTTCGAGACGGAAGCACGCACACTGTTAAATCCCATTGACAGTACAAAAGTGCATATTGAATAATTAACGCTGAGGCTTATATTATGGAGTTGAATTTGGGTATAGCTTTTTTCCTTTTCCCTCTCATCATCTTCTTCGTCTTCATCATCATTTTCGTCATCTCCCAACTGGTCGTTGTGCTGCCTACCTACTTCCCCTCCTCCGACTCATCTTTTTCCAACTATATCTTTTCAGTATTCGTTTTCTTTTTTTATGTTTTGTCTATGCCTTAATAAAAGGCTACTGCCCCCCCCCGCCCCTCCAGTCGTTAAGAAGACGTTGGATTTGTCAACACGTTTTCAGGCTTTTATCTACGGTTGATTTTTTTCACTAAAGTTTCTGTCGCCCCTGACAAAAATCCATATTCTGAAACTGATTTTCAATGAAAATATTTGACGACCACCCGTTTTAAATAATCTTTCTGAAAACATCGCCTAGATGATCCAAGCACTCAAGACTCAAAGCAATAGAAGTTAGAAACCACATTTCATAAAACTTACTTTCGTATAAATCCTAGGCGGATTTGACATTTATAGGTTTACGGAAGGGACGTTGTATCATATGTAAAAGACTTATCGTTAATTTTTTGTTTTGTTTTGTTTCAACAACGTGCGTTCGTGCATATATGTAGTTATAAACAGGTATCTAAAGAATGTGCACGATGTATTAGTTGATATTTTCGCAAAGTATTATATAATCGAACTTCAAAGTTGTATAAAAAAAAAAAAAAAAAAAAAAAAAAAAAAAAATGATGTCGAAAAGAATCAGAGGCGGATCGAACACTCGGCCTTTAGCTAAAATGAAAAAAAAACTTGCAAAGGTTAAAAAAAAAAAAAAAAAATAAGGAAAAGAATTTAATTTTTATGTACACTTAATGTCACTGGGTAATATCTTAAGTAAATATTTATTAATAGTGGCGAAGCATCATATCGAGGCTGGATGAAAATTCAAGAGGATGCATTTTTCCGAGCAAAGTTGATTTAAGCTCGTAAAAATCATCGATTGCCTCGAGCTTGTCTCTACCTTTCTTACTTTTGACTTTCCAAGGATTCGGAAATAATGGTTCTGCCGAAATGGATAAAAGAAGCATAATAACTGCAACAACTGAATTGAAAAGTTGATGGAAAAAGTACGGAGGTAAAGGATGAGGCTTATACTCTTTGTTAGGCAACGTTGCGAGGGAACGACGTAACCCGCATCACGTTTGACCGCCTTTATCATCCTCCATTTGTAAAGATCAAGCACCGTTTAATCGAATGTGATGGCCGGGGAGGGGAGAGGGTGTTATCGAGCCCTCAAGCCACGAATTATCCGAATATCGTTAACAAAAAGGAAAAATGAAAAAATCCCACCTCAAGGACATTAATATTGCAACTTTCCATTTGGAAAGTTTTTCATTCTGTTCACTCGTGATTTTGGAAAGCCTACTACTTCAAGCCATTACCTAATTTATTGAAATCGTAGGATGAAGGGATGAGCGGTTGGCGAAATCGATCGTTTATTTCGCTCCCTCTTTGCCCGAGCAAATGCTCCTATCGGCTGTAAAGAAATTCTCAACGCCCGAGTACGTAAACCATACCTCGACATGTCAAATAATCAGGCATCGCAGACGCATTCCAAGGCCATTCAAATATCACTCGGCAAATGACACTCGGCAAGATGATTACGTACCATCGACGAGAGGCGGCTAATTTGCGTTTGCACTAATCAATGTACGCGCTTACAGAGCGAAATGTAAAGTCGTGAGCTTACCTAAAATACCTAGACGAAAGTTGATGGAGACAACTATAAGCCGTCCATGCGCTGCCAGGGCGGTTCCGTCCAGCGGATTCCCAGCTCCCCATGAATAAGAGTCGCCATGAACGAGTAGCAAAGCCGGCAGCAGATCCGACGTGCTGCTACCTACAATGCACGGTATTTATTATTCTATTATTTAGTGATTTGAGTGACCTCGGAAACTTAGTACCCGCGCCCCACAGGAGCTCCAGCACCTTCGCAGCGCGGACTCTTTATTTTGCCAGGGTCATTAGGTAGCGAGGCGAGTAGCCGGATCGTGTAGCGGAGCACTTAATTATTCATGAGCTTTTGGCGCGCTTTTCACGCACTCGCGAAAGTGACTACGAGGTTGATGGATACGAGCTAGCCATCTCGTCTCTCTCCTAAGGTTTCTCGAGCAAATAGCGTTAAAAGCATTAAAAGAAGTTGAGCGGGTAGCTCCCGCCGGCCAAATAAACAGAATGGCCAAGTGAACAGTATAGGAATGGTGCGCAGCGCGCGTCTTAGCCGAGATTAACGAGATGACATTTAGTTGCGTTTAGCAGAGCGCCGCTGGGGATGATCTTTGGTGACCTGGCACGAGGCCGCCTCACTCCCGCGGTGCTTGCAGCATCATTGTTCCGAAATCACTGCAATGCACTACGGAATTGAGGAGGCAACGCGCCCTCGTTTGGAAGTGACCGTCCTCCTGGGTCTCCTTCCTCCTTCCATTCTCCGTTATCTTCCTCGTCGTCTTGTGCAACAGCCATTTTAATTAATCCCTTTGACGTGCTTCGTTCATCCCTCTACCCCATCGCCACCCTCCACTCTCTCACTCTCTCACTCTCTCACTCTCACTATCTCACTATCTCTCACTCTCACTATCTCACTATCTCTCTCTCTCTCTCACTCTCTCTCTCTCTCTCTCTCTCTCTCTCTCTCTCTCTCTGCGTGATAGGAGGAGCGCAAACGTACGCTCGCGCGCAACAGTCTGTCCCATTTCATAATATACAAATCGCGAATCTTATCGCCGTCTTCGTTATAACATCCGTGATAGCGTAAGTTTATAAAGAACCCGCGTTATCTCCCCGGGGTAAGTGCGAAGCCCGTGACGACGCGATGTCGCACTCATACTACTTTAAAATAGGGCAACTAACTAACACGTTGCGATAATTTCCACTCTCTCACACTCTCTCTCTCTCTCTCTCTCTCTCTCTCTCTCTCTCTTTGTCAGACTTATCGTATACGAGTATGAGCTCGTACATGCGTGAGCTCGCTTGTTCCGCTGCGCGCTCGCTCACTTTCCCTGAGAATGAAAATTATTACACGTGCCCTCGTTTTAAAAACTTTGCTTTCGAATCACGACGTCCTTTACTATTCGAATGCGGCACTCGGCCGTCTACTACTACTTTTGCAGGACATCATTCAATTGGGTCATGAGATAAATTCATTGACTTCAATATCTTCGTATTAACGTTCGTAAATTGAATCGTAGCACATAACTGTATGGACTACCCTATTTTCAATATTATTTTGATACAATTTTATTTGCGTTATTTCATAAAGTTGGAATATCATGGAACATGTGTTCGCGAACGTAAAGTAACTTATTCTTTTATGAAAAGTCGAATTATTACGTGAAATTCGTATTCGAGCTCGAATTTATTCCTAAGAATTTTTAGTACTTCCATATAAAGTATCGATTGCTCTTTTGGCACATTTTTAAGCTTCGCCAATTTTAACGGCATTAGATTCGTATCCCTATTACTTTAAAGACGATTATTTTTTTTTCATCAATTTTTCTTTAACTGTACATTAAATTTTTCTTCAACATAAGGCAGCGTCGAACGCGTAATGAAATTACAACAATTGCTCGTACTTCAATGACTTATCGATTTTTCAATAATATTTCCTCGGCACAAATTCACCGAAGCTTAAATGACACTCAATTGTAAATTCGCTATTAGCAATTCTTCTTCGGTTATTATTGCATATCGCCGAATAGATACAAAAACATTAAGAGAGTCGGTTGAAGCACCGACTTTTAATAAAGAATATCGGCCAAGAAGATCGCGTTATGACATATCGATAATGTTCTAATCTAGCAATTAATTAATTTTGTTTAAATTTTTTCTTGGCTTATCTCTCTCTCTCTCTCTCTCTCTCTGTCTCTCTCTCTCTGTCTCTCTGCTGTGAGCCATCGTTTAAATGAATTAAATGAATTCAATTGAAAGTAACGAACCTGGGTGAGGAGGAGGGGCTGCGGCCGCGGGTAGGCTCGCGCCCGGCGGCCTCGGCACGTACAGATTGAGGTAAAGGCAGTCTTCGCTCTGGTTGGCCAGAAGGGGCCCGACCCTCCCCAGGTAGGCCTTGAGCCCTCGAGGCATGCTGGGGTCCGGGGACGGGGGCCGCTGGGGGCAGACCGGGGGCATGGTGTCGGCGAGGCGAGTGCCGCGCCACGGCGACGGGGTGATCGGTGGCATGTAGCGAAGGGAGCCGAGGGGCGGCGTCGCGTACGGCACCCCGAGGTAGACCTCGACCGAGGCCTCGCCCGCGGCGCGCGCCACGACGCCCCGGAGGCTCCCGTAGCGCGTGCGCACCAATCGCGTGCTGTACTTCTGCTGGTTGGGTCCGCCGGCGACGAGGCCCCAGGCTGGCCCGAGGCCCAGCAGAAGGCCCACCATGGCCAGGGCCCAGTGCCGCCTCCTGGATCGATCCCTGGCCTCATCGGCCTTCCCGCTCCTATGGCCATATTCCGCAGCGCTGCCTGCGGGAGACTATCCATTAGGTTTATCGGCTAGGAGAAAGGTGACTGACTGCCCACTGGCTGGGCCCCAAAGCTTCGCGATGCATAAAAAGCGCGCCTCCGACACATCCCTCCCCCACCCCTCCCCGCAACATCACAAACCCCACCCGACCCCACTCGATCCTCCCTCTTTAACATGTACTCAGGCACGCGCGCACGCACGCACGCACGTACGCACGCACGCATAATCCACCTTCGATCCACCCCACCGACGACGACGACGACGACCGACGTTGCATTCCAGCGGATTCACACTCTCGCGTGCTCGTTGCATCGTCCCCAACATACTATGCACTCGTATTTGCTTACTCTGATTCTTATAATAATCAATTTATATTTACAACGAATGGCATAATATCCACTGGAAATCCTTACTAAAAGACGGACACTCGTATGCATCCAATTAACGCTTTTCTACTTGCGACAGTGCCAAACTACTTTTAACAAAATATTTTTATCGACGAATCTTTTTTCATAGCTTCGATAGCG